TGAGGAGGAGAATGGGTCCGGGGCACCCATTCCTATTATTCCGCAGGCAGGTCCAGAGTCTTTCACTACTCCAGTCGCCGTTCGAAGGTCAGTCAGGAGCAGACATTCGACGCAGTGTTACTCACCAACTTTAAATTACATATTGCTGACAAATAATGGAGAACACAAAGCTATGAAGAAACTTTAGCAGATGAAAATTCTAGCAAGTGAGAGCTAACCATGAAGGAGGAGATGGATTCCCTGCTGAGAAATCAGACATGGGATCTAACAGAACTTCCCCCAGGGAAGAAGGCATTGCACAACAAGTGCGTGTATCGGATAAAGACTGAGTCTGATGGCAGTAAAAGGTACAAGGCCAGACTTATTGTAAAAGGCTTTCAACAGAAGCAAGGCATTGGTTATTCTAAGATCTTTTCTCCTGTGGTAAAACTCACAACCATCGGGATGTTCTTGGCTATGGTTGCTACCGAAGATCTATTCCTGGAGCAATTAGATGTGAAGATAGCTTTTTTTCATGGAGCCCTTGAAGAAGACATCTATATGCACCGCCTGAAGAGTTCGTGGTACAAGGAAAAGAAGATTCAGTTTGTAGATTGAAGAATAACTTGTATGGTATGAAGCAAGCTCCTAGATAATAGTACAAGAAGTTTGATAATTTCATGCAAAATGTCGGATACAGCAGATGCTGGACAGTATGCCAGACATATCACTGTTGTTATGTCAGGTACTTTGACCATTTCTATATCATCCTGTTGTTGTATGTGGATGATATGCTTATTGCAGGGGCCAGCATTTATGAGATCAATAATCTGAAGAAGCATATGTCAGAGCACTTTGCAATGAAGGATTTGTGAGCGACAAAACAAATCCTTGACATGCGGATTGTTAGAGATCGATTCAAAGACATTTTGAGACTTTCACAAGCTGAATATGTGAAAAAGGTGCTTAGCAGATTCAATATGAACAAGGCGAAGCCAGTGGGCACACCTTTAGGCAGTCACTTCAGACTCAGCAAAAAGCAATAACCCAAGTCAGAAGAGGAACAAGATTACATGAGTAAGGTTCCTTACGCTTCAGCTATTGGTTCACTTATGTATGTTATAGTCTGTACCAGACCAGATATTGCCCATGCAGTGAGAGTTATGAGCAGAAACATGAGTAATCCAGGGAAGGAACATTGGGAAGCTGTGAAGTGGATTTTGAGATATATAAAAGGCTCTTCAGAAACCTGTTTGTGTTTCTCAGGAAAGAGCCTAGAGGCACAGGGTTATGTTGATGCAGATTTAGCTGGAGACATTGACAGTAGAAAGAGTACTACAAATTATGTTTACACTCTTGACGGTTTTGTAGTGTCATGGGGCTCTAATCTATAGAAGACAGTTTCTTTATCCACTACAGAGGCTGAGTATGTTGCAGTGTCAGAGGCTGCTAAGGAGATGATATGGCTGCAGAGTTTCTTGACGGAATTGGGTAACGAGGTTCAGAAAGGCACTCTCTACAGTGATAGCTAGAGCTTCATATTCCTAGCTAGAAATCCAACATTTCAATCCAGGACCAAGCACATTCAGATCAGGTATCACTTTATTCGATCATTGTTAGATGACGGACAATTACTACTTGAGAAAAAAATTTGTGGAAGCAAGAATCCTGCTGATATGTTGACCAAGGGTGTCACACTTGTAAATTTTAAAATGTTAAAAATGTAAATATTTAATGTAGCATCCCATTTTATTTTTGTTTTTTAATTTCTAAATTCATGACTAAATCCTATTAAAACTATGTTGTCAAGCACCCTCTTAAATTTACCTTTTTACATTCGAACTGCTCGGATATTTCACATCATATCATATCAAAAAAATACCACTATTTAGGCTTTTAACAAGTGATGCACCTTTTCATGTGTATAGGTAAGGCCCAACGCTTTAAAAAATTGAAAATTTTCATATATATACCACTCAATTCTTATGTATTTACATATCTAAAACCGAAATTTTAATATTTACATTTTGAAAATTTTCTTCCCGTGATCCTTCTCTTTCACGATGTAAATCCGGATTAACAAAATTCGATTGTGTGG